GTGGCTGCCTTTCCCGTGTAGTTTTAATAATATAATATTTGTTAATAACTTTATCGAGTTGTTGACGTATTTTGGAATCTTTAAAGGTTGATATTAAGTAGTTGCTGTATTAGAATTCGGTTAGTGGTTTATTAAATAAGCTAAATGATAAAAGAATGTAAAAGAAAACGATTAATGCTAGTTTCATTTTTATGTACCTTGCATAAATGTTTGTTGATGGTTCTGTAAGCTCAAGGTCGGTACTGTTTTGTGATGCTTTTTATGCTAGCAACTGTATGACCACATATTTTGTATTTCTTTTAAATCTGATTCTGAAACTTCGAGTAAATTTAAGTTGAATGGAAGTTGTACCTTGTTAACGAGCTTTAAACTTGTTTCAAAATATTGCAGATAAGAATAAAAAACGTTTTCCCTTATTGTTCTACGACTTTTTAGTTTTTCCTCATTCATTATACCAAGAAACGGAGTTTGTTTTACAATTATCATGCCTTGTTGGCTAGACAACGTCTCATTCGCTGTTGTGCCAATCTCTCGCCAATTAAAAATATCCAAATCATGCGGTAACTGCTAGCTTTATTTTGAAAAATTGTGATCTGAAAACATTGTCTCAGGCACAGTATTCATAACACTTCCAAGAAATTTGCAAACACGGCATTCCTCTTTTGCTAAGTTTCAAAAATAACAGTAATGAAAAGTAAGAAGGACAGTTGTCGTAGTTTGCTTAAATAATCCGCCAGCCTACATTTTGCAGCTTCATTAGGTTATATGACTCACTCTAAATTGCTTTCATCTCGAATTATTATAGAGTAATGACCACTTTTTTATATCTTGAATTATAATATCCATCCCTTAATTTAATTCCGTTCCCGAATCATAAACTGAGATTGATTGTATGCACCGGAAAGAAAGGTTCGATTCCGCAACTTCACTCATTGTGTCATCCACGAACAATAATTCAGATAGGACGACATATTGTGCATGCGTTTGATTATTTCGGAAAACATAGTGATTACTAAATGAAGCACTGAGTCAAGTAGTTGTAGTTGAGAATGAATCGCCACTCTGTGAAGTGATATTTTTTAAAGCAGAAATCATTAACTTTTGCTGGGATATTCCCCTTCGTACTTTTTTAATATTTTTTTAAATCCTTCAATTTTTTTCAAGTTTTTTGTTTTTAATATTTTGCCATCACGAAAGTGTGAAAGACGGACATTCTTTATCCATTGCTTCTTCAATGGACTTCAAATGATAATTACCTAGTGAAGAAGAATAAATACATCACTTTGATATCCGTGTCAATCACGTGTAGAATTTAACGCTTCTAAGATTTGTTTTCTCCGCAATTGTAGAATACTGGAAAGAAGCTCTGTGTGACATTCGATATTTTTGCATACCTACAATGGGACACGACATTTACGTCTTCTGATCTGGTATTCAAAATCTGTCTACACTTTTTAATTGAATAGTTTGTTGTGAGAAACTTAGATGCGACCTCAATGACTGCCTTTGAGAGCAATGCAAGTGCTGGAGGATATTGTCCACTATTACTTCACGACACTAAGACTAAGAAAGTAAAACAAATCAAATGATTTTGCAGAAGTCACAGTGCTGGAGAAAACATTGTTGGTTGGGAGTAGGGACAATCCAATCCCTGCATGGATCTCAAGGATCTTTGTTCCTTGGCCATACCTACCTTTTATTGGCCAGAATCTACAGAAATTTGCTACAATGAAGAAATATCTTAGAAGACATAATCTCTACCAATGCTATCTTTTCTGTATTTGTTGGCGTAAAATGAACGAAGAGAATGAAAAAAGGACGAATAGATTAGAATGCATAGCCACTGTAGCTTGTCTCACACTTCTTTCTGGCATTTATAAATTGGCGTATTTGATAAGACCAAACAAGCAATGGGAAACTGTGCCATCTGGATTCCGTTGATTACACGTGCGCTGCATGTACGACGTTTCCAAATACAACTTTGAGCTGCCAGGTAAGAGTAAAGTGCGGAATGAGCAGCAAGATTGGTGGTAGCAATCCAACGAGCCACAGCACCGATACGCTGATAAGCGCAGATCATCGAAATGGAAACAACGATGTGATGAGCCACGTGAAGATGATTCGTTTTACGACCATCCAATATCAAAAGTACGGTGTCCAATAATTCCCACATCTTGCTGATGTGAAATGTGAATATTGCCTTTCCCGACCTTGGGTTCTTGTAAAGGTCAGCATTTAGACATAAACTTGAGTAGAAGCCTTGACGAAAAGAACTTAGGAAATCAGGTAATAAGGCAAGAAGCAGGACAATATCCGCCAACGCATTAAAGGCGTTCCAACAAAAAATGATCGTTGCCATGCCTTGGCTTCTTCTGCCTTTACAAATTGGCCGCACACTAATAACAAATAACGCGTACGCAACTATGAGAAACGTAAAAAGAGGACGGTATTGTTGCATCCACTCCATCGACAACTGCGCGTCATAATGCAGTCGTTTTCTGTCCATATTTTAATTAGTGTGAGTGAGGAGCTGGCGACAATATCTATTGGAATGGAGGGAACGAACTGCGCCGATTGGTACGCCCTCCATAATTACAATGCGCTGTTGGCCGCATGCGACTTCTATTAATTTAAATACATGTAAATGAGTAAAATGCGATGATTAACTTCAATGACAAAGGATTAACACAAGGAAGCGAGCACTGTTGGACCTAATGAAACTCGTTGAGCCTAACGCATTGAATGTTCATTGTAATATCCCCACTGACCACCAGCAACACAAAGGTTATCGATCTAGAAGGTCATGGTCAGATTTTCTTTTCTTTGGTTCGTTAGATGAACTTTAGAAACATAACTGATTCAGTAGGATGTTTGGCTCAATTTAGCTCAGTGTGACTGAAATAGGAGTAATGAAGTGAAAAGTTAAAATATTTCTTTGTTACTGTTAATAAATTTTACTGATATTGCGACAGAAGCATATGCCTAAAAGGGAAGAATTTGAAAGGGAAAGTTACAGTTACAAATATTTCGATTTTTTCTCTTTTGAAAGACAAAGAAGACAATGTCTTAAAAATCTTTTTGCTGTCACACTTAATTAATCGGAATTCGGGTAATACAAAGATGAAATTTCGAGCTCAGTAATGAGTAATCAAATCGATTGCTTATTTTTCTTCTAAGTTTAAAATGATGCAACAAAAATTTTAAAAAACATTTTACATTACAGGGAAGCTTTAAAGTATATTTTTTGAAATTATACATGCTGAGAGATTTAAGTAACTATCGATCTATAGTTGGCATTTTTCATTTGTATTTGTTAAATGCCGTAAATTAAAATTAACTCAGTAATGATTTCTTTGTCCGGGACTTCATAGTGTAATGCCGTATTAGCACTCGTCTCGGAAGAATTATTACGTAAGATAAGTTGAGTAAATAGACATATAGTTGGAATCAACAAATAGAAACTTCCCACTATTTGGAAAAATATATTCTTACCAAACAAATATAAATATCACCGTATCGAGCGGTTCATCTGTTCGCAATTTTGCATATTTAAACAGATGCTTTGAAATTAAAAGCATATCATGGGAAATGATTTAATTTTTCACCATATTAATTTCAGTTTACTTATCAAAGAAGGATCTACGTGAATTTCGTTTTTGTTTGATCCACCCGTCAGTAAACAAACACAGCAGCAAAGCAATAAAATAACGGAATAATTTATTAAATGAGTTCTCATGCCAGCACTTAGTAATTGTTGCTTTTCCATTAATTGTTCATAAGATGATATACCGTTAGAATTTCTCGGATTATAAAATATATTTTCATAAATTTTGAATGTTGCGACACATTTTTAACTTTAATTTCTTTTTCTGACATATTTATGAAAGACGGAACAAAATTTATAAAATTTTGTTTCTACTTTTATTGGTTAGTTTAATGTGGTTAAAACTTAGAAAATGAATTGATACTTAAACATAAACACTGTGTATGAAGTGAATATGATACTCTAATTAAAATGAATGCCATTGTCAGGGTTGTTTGATGTTATTTTCTTTTTTGTACATTTCAAAAGAGCGGTCGAAATGTCTTCCAATCAGAACCTTTAATGAAGTATCGAATATAAAATGTTTTCTATGGGTGCCCACCTCTGTTCGTGAAAATAACATTTAGTTCTTAATTTTACATTGCAAGTCCTAATTTCTTCAATCGTTCAAAAAAATTAACAAGAAAAAGTTGTTGACGGAGATGAAGGCACAAACTTCTGAATATTGCTTATTGAATGATTTGGAAACTTCTAGTTATTATCAGTGCAACCGCTTAAGGTATTTTTGTTTGTGAATCCTTGAAATTGCGAAAGATCACTGAAATGCCTTCAAAAGTGTTAACGCTGATGTAACTACTAATAAGGATGATGAGGTGTCATTAAGGAAAAGAAAACGAGCAGATGAAATGATTTTTAAGAAGAAAATTAATGAATGCTTTAGTGATGATGATATGACCTAAATTATTGATATGCTAATAAGAGAGATATGCACATATCAGCTGGATTCTCAGCAGTGATACAACCGAAAAACAAAATGGTTCATTCGTTAAGCTTTCAAGATCAAAGTTTTTTTTTCCCAATTGCACTGTCAAATTAATTAGATCTTGTTATCAAATGCTAAAAAATAAATCGAATTACCTTCGATGTTGTTGCTATTTCATGTACTCTACTCACTACTTAATAACGAACAATTTTCAAAGCTAATAACATTCTGCTGATGATATGATCAGAAAAATTAGGTGTAAGATGAATGGAAAATGTCACACTAGAATTATTTATAAGTTTCAATCGTATTCCGTCAAATAAATACTTTACGGAGCCTTTTGCTCCCATCGTTTCGGCTTTCTCTGCCACATATTTCTAAAAAATTTTTATCTGTTTAAACTAAACATTGCCATCATAAAAACACGCCATAATAGCCCTTATTAATATTTAAAATTTCTGTATTCAGAACAAAATGATTTTCAAAATGATTAGACTGTTAATGATAGTTGCAATGAACGATATTATAATGGCTCAATTTTCCTGCAAGAATCGTAACGGAAAATCTGTTGATTGGTTTGTTTTCGTCCCCTTAAAAGAACTTTCTTTTGCACTTTCATCAGCGAACTGATTAATTAATTAACAAATCAGTTGTTATTAGATTTACCAATTTTTTATTAGTTTACATTTATGCTTAACAACACCAAAAAAATTGATACGATTGCTGATTTGAATTTAGTACTAAGTAACATCCTCGGATGCCAGCCTTGTGAGGATGCAGTGATTCTGAAGAGAGCAAAGAATATTGCTAGGATTTGAAAGGATATTCAGGTTCGTCGGATATAAACAGCCCAAAAAGGCATCACAGACATATCCGGGTGTAACATTTCATTACGCTGATAATGATTCCAAAGAATGGGGTCCAGCAGAAAATTTGAAATCACCAAAGAATGCTATTGCTGTAACGCTTAAACAATATTATGATAATAAGAATAACAAAAAAAAGGTCTTCTTTGATTTACAACAATAGAAATGTTGGAAGTCTAAGAAAGAAAGTTTTCAAGTTTCTCTTGGCCGTCTTGAAATTATTTCCAAAAATTGCTTGTCTACCGAACCTTTAGAAAAATTTAACTTTATAACTGTTATCATACAACAATACGAGTTAATATTATTGTATCAATATTACAATTATCACTTACAGGAATTATTTTATCTCTTTTACAATGACCAAGCACCAGTTAACGAAAAAAAAAAGTCATCTAAACCGCGCGCATGCAAAAGGGGTCGCTGTTTTCGGTAACACATCCGGTTTCTGGCTTGTTCATAGTGTACCTAAATTTCCTTCACTTAAACGCTATTCATATGCTGAGAACGGTCAAACTTATGGGCAGTCATTTCTGTGTGTCACATTGAAAACAACATCCATCAAAGTATTTGGTAAGTAATTACTTTAAAGGATTTAATTGTTCTGAGGTAATTTAACTTATTCATTTAAATGATTGGACGCAAGTAGAGTTATAATTGGGAATTATCTAATTTCGAGAATTTAGCGAATGCGATGAGATATATCTATCCGGAAGTGTACGGTATCACTGTGCCCAGAAATTTCTTGAATAGATTCCCATTGTTGGAAGATCTGAAAGAGTTAAAAAAGAAAAGAATTTCCAATATGTCATCGTTGCTTCAGAACTTTAAGTCGAATGGTAATGTGGATTTCTTTGCTTTCTCAAAGACTGGAAAATATAACAAAGGTATAGCTTTGCAATTCGTTTCAGATATCTTTGAATAAATGCAGACTATAAAAAGAAAGAAAAACATCAAGAATATCTTGAAATTTCTGAAAGAGAAAAATTTTGGAAAGAAAAAAGCACATGAGAAACCTCAGGAAGATAAGTGAAAAATCTCAAATGACTAAACCTTCTTGGATTTAAACCTTTAACTAACAATAAAAGCTAAAAAGTTGTTATAAATTGAGTTAATCTTTATTTGAATTTGATTTGTTCAGATCTTTATTTGGATTTGATTGCAAAAGAAATGAATGTATCACTTTTTGCTGAGACATGGATGAACGGTGCTGCAAAAGACTTAAATTCGGAATGCACTACTAAATATAAAGTAAGCTCAGAAATTACATTTTCACTTAGATTTCAAAAATTAAATTTCATCTAACTTTGACTCTACGAATAGAATCCACAACTTAGATTTTCGACTTCCGAATTTAAGCGACTCACTCAACATTCCTTTAAAGAAATGACGTTGTAAGAATACTACGACAAGTTCTGAGAAAATTATATAATAATAGAAAATCAAATACGCATATTATCTTCTATTAATTTCCATCAATTACCTTAGGTAATAAATGTCAAGGAATTGAATGTCGCGGGTGACAAATTTGCCAGCAACAGAGATCATTCAAAGTGGGCCATTGCCGAAAACAAGACAAAACCACTTGTATGCATTGGTGACATTAACAGGCAGGTAAGTATGGGATTTTGGATGGAATGTAAGTCTCAAGCTGCCCTTGCGAGAAAGGTTCAATTGCAAGATGAGCTCTTATCACAAGTATAATTTTGGATTTCAGAATTTTCAGGAGGGAATAAATCACAATAAAGTGGGGAACTGATAAGCAATTTTTAACAGAATCCTCGCAACATTCTTCAATTGGATCAGTGCAAATAATTTTAAAAAATCAGCAAAATGTTCTTTTTCTAGGAATCACAGAAAAAGCGAGGAGGTGGAGCAGTATGCTTATTGAATAAGAATATTTGGAATTTATATAATAAATCAATTACCGATGTAGAAAGTTGTAAAGTTAAATGAGGGAAGTGGGCAGGACTTCTCGTTTTTTTATTTTGTCATGAAACGGAAACTGGCTGGTATCTGAATCGAATAAATAATTAGATCGAAACAATCTTTGTTGCAGTTGAAAGCATTCCCATAACTTTGTTTATTCTCCATTTCGCTTCTTTTTATTTGTCAATATGTGAATGGAAAACAAATGGAACTGTAAAGAAATTAACTTGAAAAGTTAAAATATCACTTTTTCATAAACTGAGAATTTGAATCACTTCGAAGGAACAGCAATTAGCTGCTACGACTCATTTTATTAATTGTCGTAAGTATTTCATGTCATTCTTTTTATATTTTTTTGGTGTCAAAAATAACAGTACCTTAATGTCTTTTTCATTATTTTCTAAACTGGATTAAAAACTTTCATTCTCTTCTAGAATATTTTTTGGTTCCGGTTTCACTATATGAACAAAATGAGATCACTGAACGTTTACTTTTATCAGTCGTTACTGTCCCTTAATGAATGATTCTAATAATCATAAGATATTAGCATTGATAATTAGCTGATAACTGTGATTTCACACAGGAAACAAACTAAAAGAATGAAGCTATAAAAGCGAAAAAAACGATACACCAACAAATCAGAAGGACACAATTTGTTTAAAAAATTACTTAGTGGTTGCACTTCAATGAAAAGTGTTTAAATATTTTCGGATTGTTATTAATTTCGAAAATCCCACATGGATGGCAAAGAATAAACAAAATTAAGTCGTAGTTTTGTTTTTTGATAAATGTATTAAATAATGGAGGGGGTAATTATCAAAATTGATTGCTATAACAATTAGTTTCTCCAAAATAATAGCTGACAGTTATACGTAACGGTACAGTGACGTCATGTGGTGAAAATGATGATATGTTATGTGATCACGATGATATGTTACGTGATGAGGATAATCTACATGTCACTAAAATTAAAGCTAAGCATCTTTTGTTAATACAAAAAATCTGCAAACCATTACAGGACATTATTAATTAAACGGTAGCCAAAGCAAAACAGTACAACAATAAGGAATTACAGGACAATAAAAGTTCCTCATTTTTAAAGAGAAATTTCAATATTATCAGATCTTATCTCCAATTTGTGTATGAGCATCATGTTTCGATATCAGACTATAGGAAAGCTGAGAGCTACCTATAATCTGCTCAACATCGATATCAGAGTAGAAGTTGACAGATGGTGTAAGGAATGAACCCGGCACGGTTGGCTCGTAATAATCGTATTCCAATCGTGATCGGTATTAAATGAAAGTGATGAGTGCTCGTCGTTTACGTGGTGTAATTTGTGGTGAATTAGTTGTTCGAGACCATCGTAAACCTGGAATAGAGACAAGATACCAAAATGTTTATGTTTAATAGCCTTAACAGAACAGGATGTATTTTTCCATAACACTTAAAGTAATCACTGACTTTCAGGAACATTTAAACTTTATTTCTTTTAATCTTGAAAATTCTGAGTTTAAAAATTTTATTGGTGATGGCATAACAAACTCTGACTTTTCGTAAATTTTAACCTTTCTCGCGGGGGAACGTGGAGTCGATGATGCCGAAAGCTGTATACCGATAGAACGTTTCGTGACGATGGTTCTGTTTGATCTGATTTCTGTAGTGTCTGTTTGTCCGGATTGTACCATACTCACATCAGGCCTGAAATAAATTTTAGTGAGCATAAAATCTATCGACAAGGCACATTTTGTCACAAAAATATCACTGTAAGCTACAGGTGCAGTTAGTAGTTATTCGACTAGACATATTTGACTAGTGAAGAAGGTGAAATTCCTGACTAAAAAGATACCTGGGTTCGTCCAACGAATTACCGATGCTTAATTGTTGATTTCGCTTCCATTTTGTTTTTCGAATAACCGATATGGTAGAATAGGAGCACAGAAGTGGCGGAAGAGATATAATTAAATAATGAATAGACTTGATAGGAGGAATGACAAATCACGATGACAAAACATGCAGGAATGTGACAATGTCAGTGTTGTAATTGATGACAGCATATGATCGGTTGCTGCAATAAAGCAAACTGAATATAAATCCTGCAGTCGATCTAAAATACAAACTTGTATCCGTGGAATATTGTCTGATGGAGACGAGTTAGCCGTCATTGAGATTTCCTATGGGAGATGTCGTGTTCATGTCTTATGTTCAAAGTGGAAGTAAGACAATGCTGGGAGACACCTGCTAACCGAAGTGGTAATTCAGCTCGTAAACAAGCACACTCCGATGAATTCAGTATCAGTGAATTATGCACCCATCACCAGTTTTCCGAAAGGCCATAGTAAAACTTCGCATTTATGAAATTTGGGGATTTTTTAGGTTGAATTCCAGAATTTGACTAATTTTTGTATTTATGAATTATTTTACGATGCTGCAGAATAGAATAACGACTAACCATTCTTCCATTCAAAGCCTATTTCTATACCCGAGTTGATATTTGATGAGCTATTCATTTTCAGAAGTGAAATAACGAAGTAATCTTTGGAAGTGAACTGTAAACTGCTTTTATGAGCATGGCTGCTTATTACGGAATCATAAATTAACTCCTGAAATAACAATTGACGTCAAAATCTTCAACAACAGGGAATTTCATGATTCTATGATGAGAATGAACCTCTTTTGTTAAACCGCGATAAATTGCAAGTCTAAATTGATTGGTAGTCGCGTCGTGTTTTAATTTCAGATACAGAAATCTTCCGTGAGATTTCAACGTCCAATCTGTGATTTCCTCGCACGTTCGAGCAAAAAATCTTCCAGCCGTATGATTAATTAGGCATCCACAGGAGCATAATGTGTCGTTTACAGTAATTATCATGGCTTTCGATTCTGGAAAGCATCCGGTTTCAATGGATAATTCTGTCTTGCTTCATGTTAGTGGAATTAGTGTTTGAGGAAAAGTATTAGAAATTTTACCTGTGCAATTGCGCGTATCGCAACTCAAAGATTCCACGAAACTTCCTCTGCATAAATTCCGCCATTTTGAGGAATGGGCGAGTCGCATAAGCGCCATCGTCGTTGTAGCCCACGTCCACAACTCACGGAGCACAAGCTCATGCAGACCAATTTCGCCAGCCACCTTCCACCTGTCCTACTGAAATGTTATAATAGTTTAGAAACAAAACACAGAAACTGCATAAGGTATTCAGCAAAGTACAACGAACTATTTAAGACCAAAGATACTACTCTCATATAGCCACTGCAATAATTCCTATAACGTTATCGATGTCTGTGCTCGGAAACTTCAAACGAATCTCAGACCGCACCGAATACTTTCAAGATTGCTTGCTGGTATATATTAAAATAATATGCACTCATACAATCAGTCTTCATTTCTCTGTGTTTCTAATGAATAGTAATCACTGTCAAGGCTTAACTATAGGATTTAAAACAGAGAAACTTTTCATGTTTGCCGGGCATTTCCTTCTTTGTTTATCATCTTTGTTATTTAGCACAGTAATATTAATCAACTCTTAGGTCTAAAAAATAAGGCTATAAAACTTTCACGTATTTCTACATATCAGTTAAAAGTCCTCCTGATAAAAAATGATTCGCCGTGACAGTTTTCGGATCCCTTGTCAAATGGCTGATAAGAGCGCGACACGAGTAACCTCAAGAGTTCGAGCTATCCCTCCTGTTGCTGAACTCTTCTCTTTCCCTTTCACTAATAATAATTATTATCATCAACTATTTATCGTTCACTGACAATTTCCTATAATGCACTGAATGGAAACAATAGAGCGTATAATTGCTTTCGTGTCCACTTCTAGCCATATGTTTCTTCCTGCCTCTCCCAACTTTCCTGTCCTAGGACACGGTGTACCACGTACCACACTTTCCTGCTCTTTACTTCTTCCGTTGGATATCAAACATTTTTGGATATATATTTTCTGAATCAATGAACATTCCTCTCTATCTACGCTCCATTAAGTCCGTCTAATCTAGCCTTACCTGGCCAATACTCATATGAATAGATACCTTTCGCACACAAACGAATGAGGTTGTAACACTAACTTTTTTACTGGAGATGTGCCCGATCGATTAACTTTCCATTTGCTTTTGTGAAACACTAGAAGCGTACAGTATTCACATTAAAAGAAAAAATTTACGAAATGTCAGACATCATAATTCCCTTAGGTAATCAATGGTCAAGACAGAGATTTAAATAGCTGGGCTATAATAATTATTCCAGCCCATTAATCAAATTTAACTGTTATTATCTCAATTCTTTTAAAATCTAAGCATAGCCATAGTCGTTTGAACTGCTGTTCAGAGCTGAGATAATGATATGATAAGATAAAATGGTGAAAACGACAGAATAATATAATGCTTTAAAATGCCATTTGTTTTCATTAATATACATAGAAATAAGGAATATTAAAATGATTTGCATGAGAAGAGTATAATAAATGAATAAAAATAAATGAATGGAAAAATTAGGAAATAATTTGAAATTACCAAGCAATAATTCTAATTTTGTGAAAGAAAATTGATTTGCACTCAGATAAACCTATGTCCTTTTTGTTGATAAGTACTTCAAATTCCCTGCAATTATAATGAGAAATGAAAGCGGACTGTCACGCTAGCCTTCATCACATGCAATTATTTTCTATTGGTGCCTGAGTATTTGTCCCAGAAGAAATCCTTTTTCCATCCTGCTGCAAATGTTTTGATGAAGTTACACACACTTCATCGGATTAAAATTTGAGAATTTAGAATTCACAAATTGCATTCTTCAGCTGTAGAATCAAAATAGAATGATCATTGATTAAATTTCATTTTGACTGAATTTTTTGCTTCTGCAAAACTTCCTCCCTTTGATGAGCCGATGCTTTCTTGCTTCTTTGCTACAGCTTTGAACTTTAGCAGTGCGTAGACAGTTCACTCTAGCACTGATTGCTGTTAACAGTACTAACATTCACCAAAACTGTCAAAAGCATCGATTCTCACTCAGTCCGTTTGAATAATGCTTGCAACAACACATTGCGATGTGACTTTTAATCAATTCAAAATCGCCGAAAATTATTGTAATTCGTAAAATTACGTTGTAAAATATTTAAAGTAAGGCGGCAGTTTGCTATTCAAATTGACTTCACACTTATAAGCTGTGGAATAATATGGGACTTTTATGTTATCTGAGATAAAATATAGGGTGAAATGCTACTCGAAGAATGGAATATCCGTTAAATTTTAATAATTCATGGATGGACTGACTGCAAAATGAAAATATAAAGGAAGCAACATATGACGAAGACAGTGCGTAAACAAGTGCTTCATTTTAATTTAGTTGCATTGAATGATACTAATGAAGCTTATCTAATAAACCGACACTGTTCAATATCCAATGATAATTGGGAATTAGTATATAATATATAAATGGCAATAAAGTTACAGCTAGTAACTGTACGATGAAGTGAAGTTAGGCTTTGAAATTTAATGAATGACCCTCAAGGGGTAAAGGAGGTCATAAACAAAATGATTAGAAGTTCGCTAGCGAATCACAATTATCAGCGGGAATACTGAGGTTCAAATAAGATTAATGATTAAAAATTCGAAATTCAGAAATTCTGCCACTTATGATAACTTCAATAAACACGCAAAAAAAGGAAAAGTTAAAAACTAACAATTTTCAGTGTAAACGCATTTTCGTGTCCATTCACTGAAGCGTGCAGTAAATTTTTCCACTGATACAATTTGAAAGCAGAATTGCGCATGAATAATATCGAATTGATAACATGGCAGCTCGAGTGATTGCTGTGATAACTCTTAAAAGAGGAGTAAGCCAATCTTTTCCACTAATTTTAATTAAATATATTAAATACAAGCCTAGAGCATTACAGCCACCAAAACATCCTTCATTTATCCATCTTCTAACTTCATATAACGGATTAGTAGTTCGCAACGGATGCGAGCAATGATTTCCAAAAGCTTCCAAAAAACGAAGAAATATCTTCCACTGATAATCCAGTGAAATTCGATTGTATTCAAGGAAAGCCTTGCCAGTCATTCCATATAATCTAATCTCTGTTGTTAGACTTTCTCAAACTGTGAAAATTTCAAGCATAAAAACTAATCTGATTTTGAATAAATTTTCTTTAAAAGTAAATAAAACAGTATTTATTTGATTAACAATTGCACAGAAAAAGATCAACGATTAAAAAGTTGATGGCGAAAGAGGTCAGAGGGAAATTAACCATAGCTATGTGAGAGGTCTGCAGTCGATGACCAACCCTTTTTTGTTTGCCGGTAATATGGAAAGATTTAATCGAATGAAAGAAATGCAATTAGCAGATGTCTTTTTTAAGCGAGGAAATTTTATTACTTCTCTGAAGTTTAGTCATTTTATTGAAAAGTTTTCGAGTGCAATGATACCTTCCGTCGTCTGACAGTCAACGTTTTATTTTGGCTGAAGAGATAAATGCGACTTTTTATAGGTTTTACTCGTTGGAAAGCAATACTTTAGAGAAATTAATTTCTAAATTGCCATTGAATGAACAGTTTAGTTTCTACAATTTGCCCATTTGAAATTTAGTCTATATACTGAATTCAAGATTAGATAAATATTGCACAGAAAGGATATCTTTGTCAAAGTCTGAACTAATTTAATCTTACTGAATTCAAAAATACTAACCGATATCGTATTCTTCCATATAGTATAACTGTTCGGAAGTGGAACCTACCGGAACAGCGAAAACACGCATTTTAAATTCCAAATCTTGGACTAGGCATGATAAATTGGTCCAGGTTATCTTTAAGTAATCGAAACAACGAGGAAAGATATATGACCTTGGTAGGTTAATTGAAATTTCGTTCGTTTGCTGTAGTTTAATCGCTTTACTTTCCTGCATTGTATAAAAAAATAAAGCTAGAGTAATAATTTAAGAAAGAAAAAAAACTAATTCTATAACTGGGATTAATGATTTTCCTAAAATATTAGATGCAAATTAACAAAAATATTTGTGACGGTTAAAGATGGAAAATAGTTCCGTTATTTTCAGATAAAGTTGAAATATGATTGTCTCTATTGCCGCCCCAGTTTCAGCAACCATACTGAAAACTGAATTATGTATGGAGAGACGATTAATCATGCTTGTAAATAATATTCTTTGTGAAACTGTGTCTGATGTGGCTGCCTTTCCCGTGTAGTTTTAATAATATAATATTTGTTAATAACTTTATCGAGTTGTTGACGTATTTTGGAATCTTTAAAGGTTGATATTAAGTAGTTGCTGTATTAGAATTCGGTTAGTGGTTTATTAAATAAGCTAAATGATAAAAGAATGTAAAAGAAAACGATTAATGCTAGTTTCATTTTTATGTACCTTGCATAAATGTTTGTTGATGGTTCTGTAAGCTCAAGGTCGGTACTGTTTTGTGATGCTTTTTATGCTAGCAACTGTATGACCACATATTTTGTATTTCTTTTAAATCTGATTCTGAAACTTCGAGTAAATTTAAGTTGAATGGAAGTTGTACCTTGTTAACGAGCTTTAAACTTGTTTCAAAATATTGCAGATAAGAATAAAAAACGTTTTCCCTTATTGTTCTACGACTTTTTAGTTTTTCCTCATTCATTATACCAAGAAACGGAGTTTGTTTTACAATTATCATGCCTTGTTGGCTAGACAACGTCTCATTCGCTGTTGTGCCAATCTCTCGCCAATTAAAAATATCCAAATCATGCGGTAACTGCTAGCTTTATTTTGAAAAATTGTGATCTGAAAACATTGTCTCAGGCACAGTATTCATAACACTTCCAAGAAATTTGCAAACACGGCATTCCTCTTTTGCTAAGTTTCAAAAATAACAGTAATGAAAAGTAAGAAGGACAGTTGTCGTAGTTTGCTTAAATAATCCGCCAGCCTACATTTTGCAGCTTCATTAGGTTATATGACTCACTCTAAATTGCTTTCATCTCGAATTATTATAGAGTAATGACCACTTTTTTATATCTTGAATTATAATATCCATCCCTTAATTTAATTCCGTTCCCGAATCATAAACTGAGATTGATTGTATGCACCGGAAAGAAAGGTTCGATTCCGCAACTTCACTCATTGTGTCATCCACGAACAATAATTCAGATAGGACGACATATTGTGCATGCGTTTGATTATTTCGGAAAACATAGTGATTACTAAATGAAGCACTGAGTCAAGTAGTTGTAGTTGAGAATGAATCGCCACTCTGTGAAGTGATATTTTTTAAAGCAGAAATCATTAACTTTTGCTGGGATATTCCCCTTCGTACTTTTTTAATATTTTTTAAATCCTTCAATTTTTTTCAAGTTTTTTGTTTTTAATATTTTGCCATCACGAAAGTGTGAAAGACGGACATTCTTTATCCATTGCTTCTTCAATGGACTTCAAATGATAAATTACCTAGTGAAGAAGAATAAATACATCACTTTGATATCCGTGTCAATCACGTGTAGAATTTAACGCTTCTAAGATTTGTTTTCTCCGCAATTGTAGAATACTGGAAAGAAGCTCTGTGTGACATTCGATATTTTTGCATACCTACAATGGGACACGACATTTACGTCTTCTGATCTGGTATTCAAAATCTGTCTACACTTTTTAATTGAATAGTTTGTTGTGAGAAACTTAGATGCGACCTCAATGACTGCCTTTGAGAGCAATGCAAGTGCTGGAGGATATTGTCCACTATTACTTCACGACACTAAGACTAAGAAAGTAAAACAAATCAAATGATTTTGCAGAAGTCACAGTGCTGGAGAAAACATTGTTGGTTGGGAGTAGGACAATCCAATCCCTGCATGGATCTCAAGGATCTTTGTTCCTTGGCCATACCTACCTTTTATTGGCCAGAATCTACAGAAATTTGCTACAATGAAGAAATATCTTAGAAGACATAATCTCTACCAATGCTATCTTTTCTGTATTTGTTGGCGTAAAATGAAACGAAGAGAATGAAAAAGGACGAATAGATTAGAATGCATAGCCCACTGTAGCTTGTCTCACACTTCTTTCTGGCATTTATAAATTGGCGTATTTTGATAAGACCAAACAAGCAAATGGGAAACTGTGCCATCTGGATTCCGTTGATTACACGTGCGCTGCATGTACGACGTTTCCAAATACAACTTTGAGCTGCCAGGTAAGAGTAAAGTGCGGAATGAGCAGCAAGATTGGTGGTAGCAATCCAACGAGCCACAGCACCGATACGCTGATAAGCGCAGATCATCGAAATGGAAACAACGATGTGATGAGCCACGTGAAGATGATTCGTTTTACGACCATCCAATATCAAAAGTACGGTGTCCAATAATTCCCACATCTTGCTGATGTGAAATGTGAATATTGCCTTTCCCGACCTTGGGTTCTTGTAAAGGTCAGCATTTAGACATAAACTTGAGTAGAAGCCTTGACGAAAAGAACTTAGGAAATCAGGTAATAAGGCAAGAAGCAGGACAATATCCGCCAACGCATTAAAGGCGTTCCAACAAAAAATGATCGTTGCCATGCCTTGGCTTCTTCTGCCTTTACAAATTGGCCGCACACTAATAACAAATAACGCGTACGCAACTATGAGAAACGTAAAAAGAGGACGGTATTGTTGCATCCACTCCATCGACAACTGCGCGTCATAATGCAGTCGTTTTCTGTCCATATTTTAATTAGTGTGAGTGAGGAGCTGGCGACAATATCTATTGGAATGGAGGGAACGAACTGCGACTTCTGGAATTTAAATACATGTAAATGTCAAGCGATGGATTGATAATCACATAGCAGATCGTACCCAGCTTTTCATCATATTCTGCAAATTTTAAACTTGGTGAAATTACGAGGTGAGCAGTCATGTTTTAGAACATGAAAGTTCCCGTGGACCAGTTTCTTTTTCAGACGCAAGACTGAATCGGAAGAGTGTCCCTTTGTATACCACGGGCAAATCCAATCTTTCTGGGCTGATTTAATTCCGAAAAGAACTTAACCATAGTTTTCACTGGGTATACCCAATTTCTGATATCCTATAACGCACAATATCAGAGATATTCACTTTGTTGATTCTTCTGGATTATCTATCCGTATTATCTTTCGGAGCTTCCCGTTCCACATAAACGATGGCAGTGAGTGTGCGTGCGTCAGTGTGATTTTTAAATGAATCTTTGCTCAGACGAACTTTACTGATTGGAAGGAAGAAATTGTACTTTATCGTTCATATTCCGATCGGTATATCAGCTAGAGATGCACAAAGCTTTTGATAGAGTCGACCGTACGTTCCTAGCCAGAGATCATCCGGTGTTATCTTGAATGGAAATGTCAGTGGAAATCAGACAATCAAATGAAGAATTCGAAAAGGAAGCAAAATAAATCTCGGATAAACAAATCAAAAATGCAGACTAAATTTACCTATTCAATGAAACTTGATGAGAAGCTAACACTATCAGATATCCAGAGCTTCTAGACTGATCAATGCCAAGAAATAACCGGACGAAATGCACTACATAATTTTTGACATGTGCCTGATATAGAAGACGATCGAGCATATTTGCGGAGAAAACACCACTTTGCGCAAATGACAATCGGAATGTATGGCATCGAAGACCCACGTTTGCATTCCTTCTGAAGAGCAAAGCAGTACAATTTGAATTCAGGAGACATATGTGGTTTTGCTAAAAAATGAAGTTCTCCGCTACACACCTATCGTTGACAGAGGAAGTGTAAAAGATTTCTTACTGCCCTGTTTCCTTGTAAAACAAAGTAGGTTTCCTTTCTTGATGGTTCAGATCATTGATTTCATTGTCTTTGATACTGATAGATTCTCGAATCCATACTGGTCCCATTCTGTGTATGTGTAATGTGGAAGTCTTCGTGAAATACTTTATTATTCAAACCTCAAACTTGGGTAATTAAACCACAGATTAATATTACAAATTATACAGCATTACAATAATTAATTGATACATACACACAAATGTAACTTAATTATAAAACATTTAAAGATATAAGCAGGCTAGACACCTCGCAACCGAGCCGTATTAAACAAGGAACTATAATGAATGGCTTTGTAAGGAAGAAAATTGGGAGGGATTTTATGGGTCTTAAGGTTACAAAGTGGATTAAAATCATTTAAAACAATAGCCTTTGTTTATTAGGTTATAGCTTCGCCATTGTGCGACAGGAAGCTACAAATATCACACTAGTATCAGGCATACAAATATCAATTTCCAATGAAGAAAAGTCAGAACAATGGCTAGATCACGTTTAGAAGGAAATTAGAGTGAAAAATTACGAAGAGATCTGTGGCTAGAAGTATTCGTTAAAGAAACGCCAAAATTTACCTTTTCATATTTAGACTGCTGAAGAGCGTACTGATCATCGGCATCGACCTGCATGAAGCGCATATTGCTAGCGTGAGTAAGCTCTGTGATGATCCGCAGTCTTGGAAACATTCTGACAGGAGTGAAGGATTTAGAGAAGACACTTGCATGCTACTACTTCCCGGCGAAAAATAAATTTCTTGGCTGGACTGTCTCCCAATCAAAGACCGAGATTTGTAAGTTAGAAGGCAGGAAGTCCCCACATTAGCAGCTATTCTCAATTTGCTAGATATCCAGCTTTCGCAATACTTGCACCATCAGAATTACATGAACTACCTGTGTATTTTCTGAACTGTTAAAATTGTTGTGCAGTCAGCCAAATGCTCCTCAACCACTGTTGCACCTTTCTTTAAAACAACCACACTGTCCGCTAGACATACGCCAGCTTTCAAAAGATTATCCAGACTAAAATGTGAACCTTTAACAAAACAGTCATCGCCATTAAAGAATTTCTATTTCCGATATTATAGCAAAGTTAGTTTTGTAGTTCTCATGCACGTAGTGCAGCAAGGCTGATACTCTGAGGTACCAAGTATTTGGAAAGGAGATGTGTCTAGCACAAGTGGTGTGCAGTAGTGGATACAACACCTACTCCGTTATGCTCTGCCTACCTTGATATTTTGCCTTGCATCCAGTAGACAGAGGGGAACATGCGATCACGTCTAAGAACGATGGATTCGGTCTGAAAAATGACATAAATATAAGTGATTATCCCAATTTTCTTCAACGACTGTCTTTCTCCAACAAATCGCCGTCATTCCCATACACAACTGCTTTTCATTTTCCTGCAATTCAAGCAGAAATATAATGGGTTGAAGTTCGTGTACTGGCCGATAAGTGCGTAGAGGTATAATCAAGTTGTATAGGCCAGAACATGTCCGGTCAGCTGCCACAATCACTGCCGGACTGTTCCAATGATATTCACTCGCCGTCCGAAAAGAGCAGTGCTCACAGATCTAAAACGTTTTTCATGATTTGCTTCAAAATATTGTCCATAATATTTAAAAGAGCTATTATTTAATCAGATTTTGATGTGATATGAAAAATTTGTTGCTTACAGAAGCAATTTCCAAACAACAACTCTTTCAGTATATGGCATACAGTAAATCCAGTATCAATATATGAGACCAGTAGTGGATAGGTTATCACTATCCTACAACTTCATTTTATTTAAGCACTCTAGCAGTCCTCGTTGATGGCCTTGCTTAATGCTAGGTTATCCTGTTAGTTATTCCAAAAATGGTGCTAAGACAAATCACTTGTTTCTTAAAATATGTTGTTGTCTTATTCGGATTCCAACAAGCAATTCATTCTTTTCCTATCTTCGAAATTTCAAAGATCTGCTCTACTCAGCAGTTTTCAATTCTATTAACAAACATCCTGGCAATACATTCCTCGTGAGAAGCAAAAATCACGCAAAACTGAGATTCCACGTCACATCCATCTGATTTAATTGTCGTTTCCAAAACGCCACCGACAGATCTCTGATTAAATGATTCACTTGTGTTTTGCAACTGTTAAAACAGATATATCAAAAAAGAAGATATTAAAATAACGAAAGAGTGAAATCAGAACTGACAATACAAGTGACTAAAAGTTTTAAAAGTTTCGACGCCTTATCAGTGTCCTTTATTTTAACATGCAAAAGTCGTTAACGTTTTTTATGCCTTTTCAAGTCACTGTCTTCTATTTTTCTATTTCACGTAGTTCCTAAATTTAAATATATGTGTATATGGAAATCTCTTACGACAAAGTTTCAACATGCATATAAATCAAAACAGAAAAGAGTGCATGAACTGAAGACAGATAGTAGCGGAAATTGAGGTCAGGAAAGACACGAAAAGAGATGCAGACAACATTTTCGGAAAGCCATGGATATATTTAGTTCTGATTGGAGAAAAATAAATATATTGTCGAAATTTCGGATTGCACGTTCCTATCTCTAGCTTACACTATCATGGACGATAATAAATTCATCTTTGTTTGATATTTGAAAAGTATACTGAGTCAAAGGATTTGTCGCTGAAACTACTCACCCACTATCATAAATTGGCACATTCACACTTTTTTTTTGTTTCAAGAATTAAGCCGACAATTCGTTTTTCATTTCAGTGAGTGGAGCAGAGGACGAGTCGGTCATCTCATCTCACTTCTCCTCAAGACATTCTGCTCCTACCCCTTATGATATGCACCTCATATAAAGTGCAAAAAGGTGAAAAAATGCCCAAGAGCGGGTGAGAGATCTACTGAATAAATTTTTAGTTGCCTTCTTTCTGTAGTATTCATAACTGATTCTCCTTATCTGCGCTACTCCTCATTTAATTAAAAAGACCTCGAAACTTCTACTCAAAAATCTCGAAAGCTACTAGTTACTGTTCACAAACCGAGAAATCACCAATATTTGCAGTCACTGCATCCAAACTGGTCCTTTGCCACTGTGCGTTTAATCCTTTTCGGAGATTATACAGTGATTCTTCGTTAGTTAGTGCCCAGGTACGCAGTGTCTGTAGGATTCAAACAGTAATACTGACCAGGATTGAGGCAGATTTTCTCAAACGATCCCTCTGGTTTGACTGCAACCAGGTTCCATACCTTCAGCAGGTCGTCAAGATTAAGGCTATTCTCTTAGACCATAAAAAATCAAATGAGACAATGAATGGATGATGCTTTTAAAAAATAGACAGTGTTAGGATGCATATTTGCTTAGATTTTGGTGTGATAGTGCATTGCAGCACTGATAATCTTATTACTGAACCACCTGACAACAAAATATTTGCTGCTTTTAAGAAATTCGGATGTTAACTTATGTTTGATAAGCAAGAAAAGACGCAAATGAAAGATTTCCCAATAAAACTGCTAAAAAAATGACTATCCGCAATTTTAATATCATAAATTTCATTGCCCGAATGAAATCCATAAACTTTGTGTCAAGCTTCCGTCGACTTCTGACCTTCTCTGCAAGGAACTGATAAAAAGCTTCTGAGCAGTATTCAAATCGCCTCACATCCATTACTATTAACGGAAAATGGAAATACCCGGACAAATGCAATTGTTTGCAAGAAGAGAATATTTGAATTCGTCCTCGCAGACCAAAAATTCTGAAAGTGATAGTGGCAAAAGGCAGACTGAAGCTGCTGCTGAACTTCAAACCTCAACTTATCAACTTTATCAGCTTGACCACACCTCCATTCCAAATTTACAATTACCGTCCTTATCTTTTTTTCTTCGCAGGATTGAACCCTACTGAACAAATAACAAACCAGCATGCTCTTGTACATACAGCGGAACATTCGGAGCAAAATCTTTCACCGCCATGAGCATAACACTGTGTGTTCATCCTGCAACTGACTGCTTGTTGAGATTGCAGAAGCATGCAAATCTCAGGATATCACTGTCAAACATGACTCGCAAATTATTTGTGTTTCCAAATAAATTCTTTTAGCTTTCAATATTTCAAAATTCAGACGAATATGGTACTGTATGGATTAAAGCATTACCGCTTTTGTTTTTTGTCCAAGTAGTCATTCCTTAGCGCAGAACCCCGGATATACAATACCTTGGTTGACCATATATTTTGAGAACCATCCTCATCTAGTCATCCATTTTACATGGCGAGAGCAAGATCACCAAATAATTGTATACATTAATTGACTTATCAAAAGGTTTGAATCTTTGCAAAAGTTGCAAACTTGAAAGTATTGCCTTTTGAACCGCTACAGAGGCATCTTTTTTCCACTAATTTAAAATAATTAAATATTTGTCAAAGGAGACAGAAAGTTTGGAAATATATGGAGACACTGCATCTAGTTTTCTCAGTAGGCTTATCTGGTGTTCAGGATGAGCATAGAATTCATTAAGGAATTCTGAAAACTGAGCCTCCAGATGTATCTACCACATGCTTCTTATTAGTGGCCCAACTTTCGGTATATTCGCCACCTGCTTCCTGTCGTTCCACGTAGGTTTGGCCAAGACCTTCAATCTGAAATTCTTTTCGGTATTTTATTCAAAAAAAAAAAAAAAATCGTCTTTACATAATTTTGTTCTTTTTACTTTAAATAATCACTAAGATTTTTAATTATTGATCAAAGGTTGCATTTGAGGCTAATTATCATTGAATGATAAAACCTGTTTGGGAAGTATAACAAACGCAACGAATATAAGAATAACGGCAAAAAGTCTGGACATCCATGTGTTCGGGTACTAATCACCATAACCTGTAAATGATGAAGGGTAGATCAGCATCCAACACTGAGAAATAATATGCTGCGAACATACTGACAGAACCCGCTTGCATCAACCCGGTACACGTCAGTCTAAATGGTGAAATGACAAGCTTTAAGCTTATGCACCTTTGTTAGAATCTTGAAATCCATTAAAATTCTACAAAGTTTCCTCAGCTTAGAAAATATATGTGAAATTGTATACTAACCGACAGTGGAGAAAGTGACCATAACGAAGTAAAAGAAAGTGAAAAGGCCAAAGCGTTGCTCACCAGCTCGCTGCAAAAGTTCAGTGCCACATGTGCCCGTGAACACCAGGCACAGTAAAGTGGAAAATAAAATAACCATTTGGCGAACCAAAGCTGACTGTCCGACTAAAGTTGAAATTCGATTTGAATCATGCTGGAAAATAAGTGTTGCAATTTTATTTTCCTTTCGTTTGTTTAGTCAGCAGATGTCTCCAGAAGCGTACTAAAATCAGGACACATGGAGATTTCTACATATGAATCCGGGATTAATAGATAGTAAACAGGTGTTTAAGAATGGGCAAGTTGAAGTAGGAAGTGCGCCAGACTAGATGCTTCGATGGATTGGTCGTGAACCTCTTAACAAGCGGAATCGGTGAAGTTATCGTTTTTGCTGACGAATTTGGCTATGAAAAGATAATGAGAAAGTTAGTTGAGAGATTACAGCTTAGAGTGATGGAAATACACAAAATATTTTCTGCAAAACCTCAGTAAACATCCCGAAATTTTAACCGCTCTAGTGGATACGACTTATCACAATCCTTGCAGGCGCTTTTTGCAAGCCAGCAGTTCAGAAATATTGGCACGTAAAGTTTGGGTCCAAGTGATACGAATATCTGCAAATATATTCCATAGGGCATGCGATAAGTTGAGCAGTTTCATAGCAATTTTATTTAAATGTTAATTTCATTATTGATTTAAAATAGTAACGAAAGCTAGCAGTGAAAAAAAGAAATTGCAGTATCTACCGTAGCGATCAATGGCTACTGGTTGTTAACTCCAGTATAAAATGCAATTTTAAATCAACCCGAAAGGTATTTTTCCCTGGAAGAACAGTTGTAAGTTATAAATTCCTCCGCGTGTCGAAATGTTTATTACTTAAACTAAAAAAAATATCTTTCAATACAAGTAATAAGATGTAAACTTACTTTGTAACTTAAGAAAAATATGATGACTGTTTGTAGTACGCTTACCAATGCTTGTGTGATCCAAATTGGAAATTTTCATCAATCCATATTAAGTACTAGATGGAATTATGTAATACATTCTGCAAGTCCAATGAACGTTATTCATACTGCTTGCAATGCGAATGCAAGCCATATGAAATGCTTAGTTTGATTGCAACTTTTGTTTAAAAAAAAAAAAAAAAAAATGAAGAAAAAAGTTGAATTATTGATATTATCATTTGCTATAAATGCATGGAAGAATAAGCGTATCATTGCTGTTGGATAGGAAATTGAGATATGGCAGAACCTGAAAGAAAAATATAATTACACTAAGAAACAATTTGAATTAAGAATTTTTCAGTAAAACATTTCGATTGGCATTAAATGTGTTATCATCAGTATTGATGTCCAAACTGGAAGAACTTTTTCGAAATTTTCACATTTCTGATTACTTTTTATTGCAGTGAAAACAATTCGAAAGTTGTAGTAAAATGTAACTAATTTTTCGACAATTCTGGTGGTAATTTCTCCAATAGAATTAAAATATTTATAACAAAGTTGGAATGAACTTTTGCTGAATTCTGTGCAAGTGAATGAACTTGTTTGTGTAACACAACAACATAATTTTCCTTTAAAATTTTGACATATCCCCTCACTTCAATCAAACGGATTCTTCAAATTCATAATAGGAAATCTTGAATGTAGAGCAAAAGTCTTATGAAGTTGTTCTTTAACATTGCCTCAGCTACTTACATTTCTTTACTTTAAGATAAAAAATATGAAAAGTCACTGGACGTATTGAGCAGAAATTCCGTCTTAACTAAAGCGAAAGATGACTCATCCTAACTGCAACAAAAATGTCCCATACTTCTTCAGCGTATTTGTACAGTCTTCAAATTCACGTACTTATACAGTGAGACATCTCGGTATTTTAAGAGGTGAAGTCTACTGCTGCATGACAAAAATTCGCGGACACCAGATGCAGTCATCTGTCGTGTGTCGCCAAACTAAACTTCTTTTCAAAGTTCAAGAAACTTACAATTTTGAATTGATCCTCGTTTACTGAACTTCATGAAAAGACTTACTACTTAATTTCATGGGGCGCATAATAATTCGGCTTTGTGTAACGCGGGAGATAGCCGTTGTATTAACGACCCACACGCAATACAAAACACACGAAAGCACTTTGATGAATAAAATGAAAAGCCGAATCCGGAAGCCTAAAAAAGCAGTAAAAAATAAAAGCATTGAACTGCACAGGTGATTGCATCTGATGTGACGAAAGAATCTAATTTAGCATCGAACATATGCCTGTTATGCCTGTCTTCTGGACTTGCACTAATCAGCAGAGTTGCTCAGCGTTATATTGTCCGGCAGGTGTCATCTCTACCTTCGTCTTATCACTGCCATAACTACTATTCTTTTTTAGCAGCCGAGCTTCAATTTTTATGATCTGACATTTCATTTTTTCATGTTGATCATCCTTCGAAAATATGAATACGAATACCCAATACTATCTTCTTCTTTGGTCACCGACATAGCAGAATATTGCTGTCCTGTCTTTGAGTTTTGCTATAGTTTGTAACTTCCCACAACTGTCTTTCTTTACTAAGATTTTATTGAACGAAGTCCATTTTTGTGTGAACTTCCAATCGCTTGCTTATCTACTGTCATACTAACATCGTTTGTCCCGATAAATAGTTTACTACGCGCTTCTACTCTCAACTGCCAAATGACCAGTATCATCCTTTTGAAACATAAACAGTCAGTGCAACATTTTCTTTATTGGTGCATTTGAACGTTCCAACATTTCCTTTCATAGGAAGTTCTAATCGGCCAAGTGATTCAAAGTGATCAGAAAAGACAAATTTTCATCAGTAACTTCCATTCCACTCGCAGTCCTCTTTTCTCAAATTGATGTCCCATTCCATCGTCAACCACTCACTATTAATTAAATTAACTAGCAATGGGAAGGTCCTCTATTCCATATTCTCATTCCCTTTGTAGAAGCAAATTTAGAATTTCTTTCTTATTGCCCTGTTTCCTTGTAAAACAAAGTAGGTTTCTTTTCTTAATAGTTCAGATCGTTGATTTCATTGTCTTCGATACTGGTGTCGCGAATTATAATTTCGCGAAAACTTCTAACCAATTTCATAGTATCATAAATCATCTCTCCTTTTTAAATTGTAAACAATCCTACGGTATTCACACATGTAATTTTAATCTCCTTTTTGTAAACACCTCCAATTCTTCATGCATGTAATTTTTTATGTAAAATTGAAATTAGCTTTCATTTTAATCTTTTCTTTGTAAACACCACGAATTCTTCACACATGTGATTTTTATCCTAGACACGCCCAATCCTCACTTATATAAATTCAATTCTAACAAACAAAAAAGAATCATTATCATTATTGTCGACTGTCCTCTGTTAACCAATATCAATTCCTCCGATCTTCTTTATTATAAGTTTCTTCTCTCCTTTTACTGCTCTGTTTATTAATACTACGTTTGCGAAAAATAAAGGCTTATTAATCTTTCTACTGTATTGCAAACAATTCGAATATCAACCAACAAACCCTTCACGACAACAAATTTATTAGTGCCACGAGCCGGGAACATGTCAAGCCACATTATTGCGAGTTTTCAACCGGCAAAGAAAAGGTTAGTCAGTCTTCTTAAAGAAGTAAATCAACTGGAGATCAAATCTCCAGAACCAAGTATGACAATAGAAGAAAAAGAAGATTTTTATGTAATAAGAAAAAGAGTGTTAGAAGATAAACTTCGAAGAATCCAATTATGCGTAACTACGCTTGAATCTATCAACGATAAATGGTTCACATATACTCAACAAATCGTCACGATGAAAAGAAGAGAAGAAGAGGAAGAAAAATATAAAACAGAAGGTGACCAAGGAATATTTCAATTATTACACGAACGAAAGGAAGCGGTAATAACAATAACAATGCACAAGGATGAAGTCGACCAAAACTTAAAACAACTCTCAAAGGAGTTGACAAATAAAACAAGCAAAAGAAGAGGTAAAATTTACTCCTTCACCAAATATTAATGTAAATCTTCCTCATTTATCGCTCCCTACTTTCGATGGAGACCCTAGACAATGGCGACAATTTTGGAGCAGTTTTAACGCAGCAGTCCACACACAAGCGATTCCAGAAATACAAAAATTGAATTACTTGTACTCATGTCTTAAAGGAAAGGCTCTACAAGCAATATCTGGATATGATATAGCTCCAGAGAATTATGAAGTCATCAGAAAACTGCTCAATGAAAAATATGGCGATCACTCAATAGTAACAACATTACTATACAACGAACTCCAATCAATTAAACGAAATGAAAGAGAATGGATTGGAACAATTGAAAATATAGAACGAGTACTACGCCAGTTAGAAGCTTTAGGAGAAAGCCTCGACCACTCAAATATCGAAATTTTGATCGAGAGCAAGTTGCCATTATGGATATTAAATAAAATATATAAACATAAAAAGAAAGACATGTCTTGGTCAATTCTCAAACTAAGAAACTTTTTAACAAGTTTAGTCAATGTGAATGAACAGATTAGAAACTGTCAACATTCACTCACTCAACTCAATATGAAATCTACAACTACCAAACCGGAACAAAAACAACGATACAATCCAGGAGGAACTTCAGCATTGTCGACAATAAAAGATAATCGAAATACTTCGAAAACTACAACAACGAAAAGACGACCGTGTGTATTCTGCAATCAAGATCATTGGGACTGTGATTGCGTGATATGCTCGACTGAATCGTCTCAAGGTATTAAAGAAATGTACTATTTGTCTTAAAGAAGTCACAAAGGACAAAATTGTAAAGTCAAAAAACAATTCTTTTATTGCAAAGCCTTACATAATAGTGCTTTATGTGATAAAAGGAATTCACTCTTTGAACAATACAATGTATCAAAGAAATGGAGAGCAAGAAAAAATCGAACCTTCGAAACGAAAGGATTGTTCAACTTCTCTCTACAACTCGACATTAACAACTCGATCCAAACAGACAAAAGAAACTTTACTTTTATGTAAGGAAATAAGGGTTTTTAATCCATTACAACCTCAGCTACAACAAAATGCTTTGGCATTATTTGACATCGAGTTACAACTCTCCT